AAGAGAGAGTAATATAATAGTCTAGTTTAGAATTTACCTTAGGTTATATAACCTTAGGTTACGTAATTCTATTACGTAACCTAGCCTAGCGCCTTAGCACTTAGTACCTCTATATATAGAGCCTCTTAGAGTAGCCTTCTACTTCTTATCTTTAGATAGCTAAATTTAACCTAACCTACTCTACTAGCACCTCTTATTCTTATAGCTTGTAGAGACAGTACTACCTGTAGCTAACTTACCTAGCTAGGTATTCTAGAGGCGCTTATAGTAGTAGAGACCGCGAACCTAGCTCTTATATTAGCCTTTCTAGTAGTAACGCGTGCTTCTTTAAAGGTAAGCTTTTAAGTAAGATCTTAAGTAAGATCTATATAGTAATTATAGTTATTAACATATTAATATTAGTATATACCTAACTACGTGCGTATATTCTCTAGTAGCTTTTTATAAAACTTTTCTACCTATTAATCTACTAGAAGCTAGCGCTTCTAGGTAAGATAGAAGAAATTATTCTAGAAGTAGGTAAAGTTAGTAGCGCTTTAGTAATAAAGCTTTTAGAAATTATAGTAAGCATTTAGCCTCTTATATAGATCTCTATAGCTTCTCTCTAGCTAATTAAAAATATAATTATAAAAAACTACTATACTACTATTCTTAATAGTATATAGTATTACTAATAGAGTCTAGTATATGTTTTCTTTAGTTTATATATAAATATAGGTAATAATAGTTTTCTTAGTATTCTCTAGTATATCTCTAGTATACTAATTCTAGTTTACTTAAAGTTTATTATATAAGCTATCTCTCTACTACTTAAAGATAATACTCTTACTATCTAATAATAAGAGTAAATCTAGAAACTTAGTAGAGCGCGTTAGTTAGCTCTCTAGCGCTTATAATGCTAGAGGTATAGCTAGCTAGTATATAGAAAGATAAGAACCTAAGATTAAATTCTCTAGTAGTAACGTGCTTAAATCGCGTATAATTAGTATTATAGAGAAACGCGTTACGCGTTAAACTAGCGTAGTAAGTAGTATCTAGTCTCTAGAGTAGATTAATTACGCTTATAGTTACTAGATTTTAGCGTCTTTTTTAGCTAGAGTAGTAGTCTATATCTAATATCTCTTATATATATTATTTCTTTTAGTAAAAGTATTAGTAGTAATCTAGTAATATATATAAATTTATTATTTATATATCTATTATATATATAAGTAGCTAACTATTTTATTAATAATTTTAGCTAGCGTTTCTAGAAAGAGCTCTTAAAGCTCTTTAGTAGAGGTAGAGAGTATATATAAATCTAAGGCTAATAATAGCTCTAGTATTACTAAGCTCTAGTAAAGCCTTATAAGCTTCTAGTTAAAGTTATTATTTTAATTCTTATTAGTTATTACGTTGTATTACTAAATAGAGTTTTTATAATAAAAATATTAGTTAGTATATTCTACTAGTAGGTTCGCTACTCTAGATTTAAGAACTATTAGAGTAAAGAGGTATTATAGAGCTAAGATTCTACCTCTAAATTAGCTTTGCAAAAGTTCTTCTATAGTGTTTAGATTTGTTTAGCTTTTTAATTAAGAAAGAAGTAAAGAGGGGAGGTATTTAGCTACTAGTAGAGTAGCTAGTTATTAGTTCTACTAGTAGAGTAGAAAGATTATTAGCTCTACTAGTAGAGTAGAAAATTATTAATTTTTTATAATTTATAAAAAGAGAAGAAGAGTTTCTATACGTAGAAGTTCTATAGAAGTTCTTCTATATATAGAGCTTTTAATAGCTCTCTTTAGCTTAGTACTAGTATCTTTCTACTACTAACTAGATCTACTAGTAGTCTTATATAGTACTAAAGAGATAAGTAATTAATTAGTATATTAATAGATTCTTAGAGTAAGTAACTAGGCTCTTATAGCTCTAATTCTTAGTATTAGCTATTAGTAAACACTTCTTAATAAGGCTACTTAGTTTAGCTAGATATTATACTACTGTCTCTAGCTAAAGAGGTATTAACCTTTAGATAATATAAGAGCTAGGTTTATAGTCTCTACTACTATAAGCGTTCTAGAACACCTAGCTAGGTAAGTTAGCTATAGATAGCATAGTCTCTATAAGCTATAAGAATAAGAGGTACTAGTAGAGTAGGTTAGGTTAAATTTAGCTATCTAAAGGTAAGAAGTAGAAGAATACTCTAAGAGGCTCTATATACAGAGGTGCCAAGGCGCCAAGGCGCTAGGCAGAGTCATGTAACTTAGGCGGAGCCGAGTCGAGCCGAAGCACTAAGTTAGAGCCGAGTTAAACTATTACAACTTAGAGCTATTATATTATTAGTTAATAAGCTCTATATAGTTAAAACTAACTATAATATATAAAATAATAAGTTTATAGAGCTAGATTAATAATATATATATAGTTAGAAGAAGAAAGCTCTAAGAAGATATTTTTCTAACTTCTATCTCTTATTACGCTATACCTAGAAGAGCTAGCCCTATAGAAATTTTCTAGAAACCTTTATTACGTTATAGATACTATATACTATAAGTTTTATATATTATTATAGAGATATAATACTACTTACTAGAAGTAAAGTAGATTTTTTCTTAAAAGTTAGTTAAATACGTATAGCTTTTTAATTACGTAATATATCTTAGTGTAACTTTAGTATTAGGTGTAATATGCTATAAAGAATATATATATATATTTTTATAAAAATATATTAAGTTTTTATATAGTTATTTAAGAAAAACTTATAAATTTCTTATTAATTTTTCTTGCTAAGAAATTATAAGCAGTTTAATAATATAGATAGTTCGATAATAAAGTACGTTATATATATCTTATTTAATAATTAGACTTTAATAAGTAGTAAAAGAGCTCTTACTAGAATCTATATATACTATCTAGACTTTATAGAAGTACTCTAGAACTATATTCTAGAGCTTCTATTACTACTTAGCTAGTATTTAAGTAATAATATTACCTCTATTATAGAAAATACGCTCTAAGCTTTTAAGATAATTTTATAGCGTCTTAGCTACTCTATTCTTAATAATACTACTAATAATAATATTATAATAGAAGCTCTAGCTAAAAAGTATAACTTTAATACTTACTATTAGTAACTATACTACTTCTACTATATAGTTAACCTTAGCACGTAATAGGTTATATTTAGTAAGAATTATAATACTTTTAATAACTCTAAGAAGAATATTTAGAATAAAAAGAGCTTTATAAAAAAGTAGTAAAGAGCTAGCTCTTTAAAGATTTTACTTAACGTTATCTTATCTATATATACTTTATAAGCTTACTAGCTTCTAGAAAACTTTTAGAGAGACTCTAATAGTTACTCTAGAGACTTTATAGCTACTATACTTAAACTAGTAAAGCCTATTAAGACTTACTAGAACTTCTACTATAATTACTTTACTAGAGTAATAAAACTACGTAATGCTTTTAATAATTATATAGTATATAAAACTAATAAGTATTAATAAGAGATAGCTAAATACTATTATAGAGTTAATAACAACTCTAGAAAAAAGCTATAACTATTTATTAAGAAAGATAGTCTTACTAGAAAGAACTAGATAACTATCTCTAAGTATATATAGCTTCTATCGCTCTTTAAAGAAGCTACTTTCTTTTTTAAAGGTAGAGAAAAAGCTAGTACTTCTAGAGCTATATATAAAGTTCTTATAACCTTTAATTAGCTAGTTAACTAGCTTATAAATATTACTAAGAGACACGCTAACGTTAATTTTAATAATTCTAATACCTCTAAGAATTACGTAAAAATTAACTATTAACTAGCTCTTACAAAAATCTCTAACTATTACGCTAAACTAAAGAGCTCTCTAGTGTATTACGTAGCTTTAAGGCTCTACCTATAGTATAAGAACTATTTTAAGCTAGCTTAGAGAGTTCTTAATAATTACTTAGAGCTTCTCTATAGCTCTTACTCTTATACTAGCTAGCTTAAAGAAAGCTACTATAATTTTTAACTTATCTAGAAAGCCTTTAGAAACTCTAAGAGCTCTATAGAAAGTACTTAAAAGTCTCTACCTATGCTAAAAAAAGCCTAACTTAGCTACGCAGCTAATCGCGCTAACTTTATAAGAGCTACTTTATAAGCTATAAAGTCTAATTAGAAGTTAGATAATAAGTTTAATAGCTAGAGAGCTAAACTAGCTCTTCTAGAGAGCTACTTATTAGCTGTTAATTCTATACAGTACTAGTTAACAAAGGCTAAATAGTACTCTATACTCTTACGCTTCGCCCTTAATATACTAAGTATACCCGCAGTAGCTACTAATTATAAGAGGACCTTCTTAGAGCTTAGGAATCTCCTTAAAGTACGACGTCTAAGTATAAAGCCTAATCTGCTCTCTACTCTACAGAGCCTCTAGAGCTAGAAGCGCCTTGGCTTAACGCCTCGCAAAAGCCTCTTAGGGGCTCTAGGAAAGCCCCTAAGTCAATTAGCGACTCTGTACAGTAACCTTAACGACGGCACGTGACCGTTTAATTTATCTGCTAAGCTTTTCAAGCTATAAACAAGCTAATCAAACAAGCTAGAGCGAAATTCCTAACAAATCAAGCCAAACAAGCCAATTAGAGCTCGAGAATCAAGTCAAACAAGCTCTCTCCGAGAGCTTGTTTGGCTTACTTGTTGCCAGGTCTGGTAAAGAGCGAGAGCGGTACAGGCCGTCCCATGACTTTTGACATGAGTTGGACCGGGTTCTAGCAAAGACTTGTAGGTCTGGATACCCGCCATGAAGAGAAGCTGGCAAGGAGGCGAAGGAGACGCGGTCGTGATGAGCAGACGCCACGGTCGGTGCGCTTCGCGGGATTCATTTCCCAAAGACTCCAATATATCTCAGTCTCTTCCATGCTTTTGCTCGTCTTTCGCCCCGCCCCGCCTCCTCTTCCTCATCATCTTCGCTCACCGCTCGCCGAGGCCGCTGCCGGCGACGGCACTGTGCGCTCCCATCGACGTTCCACTACTTACCATGGCAGGCCGAAAACGCCGAAGAGCCTCATCCCCCGATCCCGACCCTCTGATGTCACGCCAGTGGCAGAGGAAATGGGCTGGAAACCGAAGCAGCTCTGAGCTCTACGATTCGCCGACGCCGGAACGCAGAGAGGCGTGGTACGAGCGGGCCAAGGAGCACAAGGCCAGGCTATGTGAACTGGTCACTGACCGTAAGGTATGTATCCCCTTAAATTGACTGCTTGTCCTGACGTTGTCTAGGCGCTAGAGAATTCGATGCGCATTTACGTAGATGACCGCACGATGTTAGATGGATAGTTCAAAGCGGAGCCCGAATTCATCGAGGGCATAATATGGATTGCGAACCTGTTGCGTCCGCAGGGTATGCCTGAGTTCGCCATCCCCTGGATCCCACATGGTGCTGTTCCGAGCACGCCGCCAGTGACACCTGGGTTACAGCAGACGTTCCATACGGCGGAGAGCGCTTCTCATGGGCAGCTGGGGGTTGCCTACACTACATGCGCCAGCTCCTCTACCACTTCCATCTCTGGATCAACATCAACCTCTGTATAACGGTCTCCTACCTCTTCTGCCTTCAAAACAGCCTCTTTCACCTCGAGATCAACCTCGACTTCTTCAAGACGCTCCTCCGGCACTACACCAACATCCCTCCCTGCCTCTTCCTCAAAATGTCATACCCAACCCACAGCATTTCACATGGTGCTACCGAAAGCTCGGAACCGGGGACAAGCGGGGGCGAGATGGCTTTTCCGTGAATGTGGTCAGGTACGTTCTCTTTGTTGTCCACTGCCGACCTACAAGATCTAGACCTAACTGACCATGTGCACAGATTGTCTGCGGAATATGCATCTTCATGTCCCTCCCCCTCTCCCCCAATGCCGTTGCGCAACTCGCCTGCATTCATCACGACGAATGCTTGCACTCCATCAAGCTCGACTATATACCGTGTGCTCGAGACGCTGAAGTATGTGCTCAGCATCCAGACAACAGTGGGGAGGCAGAGGACAGATGCAAGATCGCTGTATTTGTGGAATGTGGTAAGCGCACCGTTCTGTTCTTAAAAATATGGCAGCGAGAACCGCTTGCTAACAGCTGTATAGGTCGCACCCTTTGTGCGGGTTGCGTCGAGTTCCGAGGATTTGGAGGGAGGATTGGGAATGAGTGCCCAAAATGTGCCGACGATATGGATATTAGGATGGGACTGTAGGATCAGCGCTCGTAATAAGTCTTCAGGCCTCAGACTCTGCGCATGTTTGAATAATATGTTACAATCTGTAGGCCCTGCTTCTTCGCAGGTCGATGTGGGTCGTTGCTCCGATCTGGAACGGTTGCGTCGCGGATATCTGAGCTTGCGACGAACCTACACCTAAGCATGGAGTAAAGGAAAGAATAAAATAGACTGAAAGAGCTGGTAAGAGTTTGTATAGTATGTTTGGACCAGCTTAGCACTGGTGCCATGGTGAAGTCGGAGCCATTTATCGATGGCGAGCTTAAGGGTCCGGGGAAGGCGGGTCATTGCTAAGTGCTGGGTTTGTGGCATCCCGCATGTATATGCTCCATATTTACCCCATCCGGGAGGCGAAGGATGCCGTCCGACGCCGTGGCTTTTATTAGACAGTGTTCTCTATCAGATTCGATTGTAATTTGACAATCGTATTCGGATACTGACTCGCCCGATGCCATGCCCGCGCGACCGTTGTCAACGTTCAACGGATTTCGCAGTCGACTTTACCAGTACGGATATATATGCAAGCCCTATTGTAATTCCAAGCTCGGACGAAGTATGAGGCGCGCCGTCGTTTACGGCGCTGGCTACCGAGGGCATTTTGGCAGAAGAAGCTTCATGTGAACAGCACTACATGCTGATAAAGCTGTTTGGTTCCCGTTAAAGTACCTTTAGGTCACTTTAAACACCTTCTCAATGCTTGCTCTGCCAAAAGTCAGTCATCGCGCAGGGTTCTGCCCAAGCAATCTCGGCTGATAGTGCGTCGCACTCACCCGTGATATACTCAAGCAAAGAACCAGCATATCACTACCCTCCACGCATCTCCACCCTCCGCATGACACATCGAAATCCTCTAATACAGCCCTAAGTGTCCAAAGTCTCACATCATATTCATCGCTCAATGCATGTCAACCAAGCTCTACCGCGTCCTTGACCATGCTCTTGAGCCTCTTGAATTCATGCTAGGCGACCTGCATGCATGGTATTATCACTGGCTGTACTGATTGAAGCCTGAGGAGGCTCTGCGTATCTGGTGGGGACACGTGTGCCGGAGGGTGTCGAACTGAGCTCCGGGCAGTTGGGTCTGTGTATGGAAGTAGCCGGAAGTAGAAGTGCGGGAGAGGTGGGCCTGCCGTCTTCTGTTTGAGCGGCGAAAAGAAGGATGATTCAGGATGCAGGGCCTGAAGCGGAGGGGATCATCGTCGGCCTTGTGCTAAAGTTATCGGTGCCCACATCGGGGACGCTTCTGGCATCCGGAGGAAAGGAAGAGCGAGGCTGATTCGGTCGAGATGGGTACGCTGGCGCCAGTGAAGTGGCAGGCAGAAGGTGAAGCTGAGGTGGCCTCGGTCGGGGATTGCTCGCGCCGGCGCTTTAAACCACGGACTGGGCTGCGAGAGGCGGACCCCGGAAGCTTGCTCGCAAAGGTTGTCGCGGGGCTGTTTAGGCTCCCTGGTGGAGGAGGAGGCGATAGATTGCTGACGCTGACGCTACCGCTGCCGTCGCTGCTACTGGGCGTCGGCGGCGTCAAAACCGTCATTAATTCGCGGAGCGCCATGTGCTTGTCGCTCTGAAACTGCGCGCGCACCGATGGCGGGGTGTGTCCCTGCGGCCACGTGTCCGCCTGCTCTCCGTATATTACCCTTCGCACGGCTCCCTTCTCCTGGAGTCGGCGAAGGGCATGTACGAGGGCGGCCGCGAAGTTGGCGTTGTATCGGGATGCGAAGGTGGGTGTCGAGATGGGCGGGACGAGGAACTTGCCCTGCGTGGCCACGATGTCGGGGAGCTGGCCTGCGGCATCGTCATTGCCATTGCCATCGCCATTGTCATCGCCATTGTCATCGCCATTGAGAGCCATGCGCTGTGGCAGTGAGCAGGGAAATGCTGAGCGCTCGACAAAGACGTTGGCAGAAGGACGTGAGAGAGAGAGAGATTACCATTGGGATGTTCCAGAATGTCTCCGCTTATTGCATACCATGCCGCAAACACAAGCTCCTGTCGCTCAAATGCTCGAGCGTGCGGGCAGACGCGACGCCCCCGGAGCCACCCCCACCCCCGAACCTTGTATCAGCGCGAGCCGGCAGGGAATCATACGCGAGCGGGCGACGGCTCGTCGAGGATGCGCGAGTCGTTGAAAGGCGGTTGTCGAACGGGGAGATGGGTTGCTGGATGGCAGGGATGAGCGATCCTGGCGGCCCGGCCCCTCTGCGCGGGACGGGGATTGAGAAAAAAGCCGGAGGCGGAGGCGGAGGCGGAGCGAGTGAGCAAAGAGGATAATTTCGCCCACGTCGGGCGCACGGTCCATCTGCAACCATTAGTCGTTAGGCTCGGTCAATTCTCGCATTCAGCTCACCACAACCTCACAGCTTCCCGGCCCTGCTCTCCATCGAACGACATCTCACCCACCTTGCTGCGTCGTATTTGCAGGAAGCCTAAGTCGGTGCGGCATTGACGGATGTGGGCCGTCCCACGCAGCGATGTTGAACCCGCGGCGCGCGTCGGTGCATGCCCCTGCTGCGAGACCGCGCAGGGGAGAGAAGGGGAGAGGGGAGGCACTATTGCTGGAGAATCCGGTGTCGGGCAACGATTCGAGGCATTAAGGATGACTACGGTTCCATGGACCCCATTGGCGTAAGCATTTCTGACTACATCTGGCAATCCGGCAGGCTGAGGATCCCAGCTCTCTAAGTTCAGCTCGTTTGGTTTACTATTCAGAATCCGTTGGTGCCCCAATTCTCCGGCAGTCGTAGCGGAGTTCCATCCGCGGGATTATCAGCTTGAATTGGCGGCGTCGTAGGCGAATCACCCCCGTCGATGTACTCGTCTGAACCATCTCTACACCCTTTTTATTTGAGTTTAACTACGAGATTTCGCAGCAAGCGACGCTTTTACATGGTACGCTAACCTACGTGGCCGCGGAAACTCCTCAAAGCTACTGGAAACCTATCGCAGCACGACCTTCACGGGCTTTCTCTATCCTCGAGTTCCGCATCCAGAGTTGACGTTGACTTGCGAACGCGGAGCAGCTTGCGCGTAACGCCGGTCTGGGCACTACCAACTTTGACTCTCGACGAAGCAGGCTGATTTCTCCAAGTGTAAGCGGCCTAGACTAGTAACAGCGGGCGGCTGTACGAGACCCGAAAGCATCAGCGGAGGTTAATTCTGCCTACCAATCCCCACTCAGCAGCTCTTCGCCTGTATCGCGGCGGTAAGTCACCTCACGTAAGGTCTACCTCATCCTCAGAACAGAAGCTCATCCAGCATCACTCAGGCGCAATCTTTAGCGAGCAAGAAATTCGACGCGTTGACTTTGGCAATAGTCCAACTTGAGCGGATTGCAGCAAGGTTTCGTCTCGCTTCATCCGCCACTACTGTGCGATTTGAAGTTGACAGCGCAGACCCGACCACAGCTACCTAAAACGCCGCGATAGCAGACAACGCTACGAAGAGCGCTACTCTCAATCCCGCGACTCCGCTCTCATACGCAAGACAATGGGGGAGAGAATATGCCCTATCTACTCAGCAAGATTGCACACTGCGATCTAGCTATGGTAGGTAAGATCATCGCCGATCTACTATCCGATCGCCGACGCCTCTGCCATCCAACCAGTGGTAAAGTCGTTCATACAAGCACCCGACTCGCAGCTTAAAAGCTCGACAAGGAGATGATACAAGCTATATGGACCAGTCGCCTGCAATCGCCAATATGCCAGAGAAGGCACTGCGTCCACGGAATGCTTCCGTACTTAGTCCCGCGAGACGAGCCGCCTTTACGACATCTAGGATTTGTAAGAGGATCTAGATCTGAGACGTTAAAGCGCAAGCTTGATACCTGGCTATTCAGCAAGCTGCGTTTCGTGTATACGGTTCGGAGACGGCACACCCCTAGACGGTGAGGTCTGCCGTTTTCTAAAGCGAGCGTAAGCTGCGGGGAAGTGATAGAGCATCTACACTCAACGCTCAAACGATTTGAGTTGACCGCCAAGCTTCTCTGATCTGCGGGCGAAACTTAGACGCCACCTTGAAATGGTGAAATGATCATTGTTGAAAGTCCAGAGCGTGATCCCATCACGTTTCATTTCCAAGCAGCGAAAGAAATTAGTGCTGATTGTAAGAGCGACTTCATGGCATATTTATGGAACGAGCCGTGCACAAGTATTTTATAGTTCCAAATAAAGCTTAGCGTTCTCTGCATCCGCTTAATCTTGTGTGGGGTTGCGTTGGATCGCGTGGCGGCCACGTGCGTCCAAAAAAGGGTAAATATCGCCTTTTTCCACGGTTGGAATAGGAGCTAGTAGTTTATACGAATTTCGATCCTAGGCTAGTTAGGTTAGTTCTAGTGTTGATATTGCGGGGCTTCCCTGGAGCTGCGATTTGCGCTCGGCGTTGTTGATGCGCACCAGGAAGTTGGTTCTTGAAAAAGCGGCGCTTTCGCAGGGAACTTCTGCGTGGTGCATCTAGCTCTGTACTTGGGTGCATACCTGCTCTTTCTTCTATTAACACTTTTCGACAGGAGCAAAAAAGAAGCAAAAGACAAAAACAAAACATACAACAGCGGGTATTCGCTAGTGGTCACCCACCTAACTACTAATCCGCCGGTACGCTGCTTAAATATGGCTGAGCGAACGGGAAGCCTTGGATTCAGCGTCCTATGGTCGTATGTATCAGTAACTGCCACATCTTGAATATATATAGTATATTTAAACGCTGTACTCTGTTCGGAGATATAGCGATAACTGACTACAACCGAAGCGCCATGATGTCGCCTCGTAGACGTAAAACAGTTGAAAGATAAGTTTACCTATAAACTTAGTTAGGATTTAAAGCCCCTGAGTGCTGCTTCACATTCACTTTTCGCCCTCGAAGAAATTTTTCAACCTGAGCATTCTGGCCGGCCATGCGCGATGAATTCCGAATCCGCGCCCGTCGCTCGTCATGGAAACGTATTTCCAGCCGCTCCCGCCGTTCCCCAAGCCAGTCAACCAGCAGCTCAAGGCAGTCAAGCACTGGTTCAAGCCAGCTAAGTACGACCTGGCGAGCCTTTTCGTTCTTGAGGTAACGAGCTCGCCCAAAAGAATAACTATAACGGAGCGCTTAAGATGTACAACTTAGCCTTACGCTCTGCCTCGAACGACTTAAGTCTGCTTTTGAGTAGATCTATAGCCTATTCCATGTCAGAACCGCCAAATCTTGACTTCGCTCTGAAGGATGCCGATCGTGTTATTTAGTCGAATCTAAGTTTGTGGCAGGGATGGTTGCAGAGAGGGCAGATACTCTTACGATGAGGTAATTTACGGGGTGCGGAAGAGGCGCTCGCGAATGCCGTAGGCTTCGCGCGAGGCTTTAACGTAATAACGGCCGAAAGAGCATTAGATAAGGCGCAAGTACGTCGAGCACAAGCTGCAGGGACGACCTCTGTTCCGGCGCTAGAAATACGCACTTCTAATCGGTCGAACATCCTACTACGTCCTGCTTTAACGGCATTGCCTCTACAATCTTCTGCTTCTGGTATAGTTTCCTAGGCTACACAATTATTATCCACGAATCTTCCTGCCACGTTCAACCCATCTTCTAGGGCGTTAGGACCGCACGACTCTGGTACGTCAACAGCCCTACTATCCGCTTCAACCTCGTCAACCCCGCTCCCGAAACCTAGTTCAACCTCTCAGTTAAAAGGTTGGTTTACGATTCCCGGAAATAGATGACCCCAGACTAACACTAATAAATATTAGGCCAAAACGGAGCTTCTGCTACTGCAGTAAATCAACTTGAGAGTCAAAATCCTGTAAACCCTGTTCATCGACCACTTATTGGAGACGACATCCGTCTTCTGAACCTTCAACCAGGTTCATTCGACGATCCTATCTGCTGCTATCTTGACCAAGTCTCCCTCAGCGCTGGGCGTGCCTACGAAGCCCTCTCATACGTCTGGGGGAACGCCAGCGACACTTCGCCCATGGGCCTTGACGGGGCGACGTACTATATTACGAAAATCTTGGAATGCGCATTGCGGTATTTGCGGCACAAGGTATCTCCCAGAGTCCTCTGGGTCGATGCCGTCTGTATAAACTAAACCGATAGAAATGAGCAGAGTTAGCAAGGTAGGAGGATGAGAGATATCTATCTTAACGCATTAAGGGTGATCGCCTGGGTTGGTGATTACGCCCCGTTTACCAAAGAAGAAGTTGATGCAGCATTTAAAATCGCTTCCAAGATGAACGAACGTCTGCTAGCCGAGATGGAGCAAGTTTATCTAGGAGAATTTGAAAACTCAGATGCGGTGAATGTCGTCAACTTTTCAAAGGCGGTAAATGCTCGGATGACTCAGACTTATTTTGACGAAGGCTTTGTCGGGGAAAATCTCTCAACATTACGGATACTTCGAGAGATTTTACAGCGGCCATAGTTCTCTAGGGTCTAGGTAATTCAAGAGGTAACTATGTCGAAGACACTAGAGAGCGCGTACGCCGGCCGTGGACCCGTTTTCACGTGTGGCTAGACTAACATGCCATTTTAGTGGTTGGCTTCCTTTGCCGTGCATACCAGTGTACCCTCTTTGCTTTCACGGGCTTACTCGACGCATCTTGGGGCGCTCATGGTATGCCACTTCCGCGACTTGCACGTTAGCCTTGCTTCAGGAAGATTGAAGAAACCTCTGGCGGAGCAGCTCTTGATATTTCTCTCAGGTGTTAGCGGCATATTCCAGGCTACAGATGAAAAAGACAAGATCTATGCGGTCCTAGGAATGCTGTCGTATGAAACCCTTCCCCCGCATCTCGAGCCCAACTACGCGCTCTCCACCGGGCGAATCTTTCGCGACTATACAAGATACATTCTGGAAGAGACTGGAAACCTGAATATCCTCACATGTCGATCATCATTTCGGCAATCGTTCCCGTCTTGGGTTCCAGATTGGAGCAGGCGTGCGCAGTTAGACAGTTCTCGCTGGCGCAAAGATAATAACCTGAGATTCCTTGCAGGAGGGACCAAGCTCGAGGTCGACTGGGTAAAATCGAAACCGTTCTTCTGCCTCTGGATTTACCTGATTTCCAGCCCGCGTTGCAGAAATATGGAATAGAGAACCCCGAGTCGGATGACACTATTAGCGAAGCAGCGAAACACACTGCCAGGGCTATACTAGCGTACGAAAGCAAACTGTTCCGTACCAGTGCATTAAAGGCTGGTCTTACAAGGACGCGTTTCGAGCAGTGGCTCAAAGCTTTCACGACCGGGTACGAAGTAGACGCCGATGCGTTTTACAAATCATTTTCCTTCGAACAAGTGTATCGCATGTTTTTTTTGGAGAACATGCCGATTTCTCGATCATGGCGATCCTCTATTTTTGCAATCACATTCGCGACCGGTTCGAATACGCGACCTACGAGGACAATATGGGGAACTTCGGTACGCTAAGCAACAAGGACGACTTACCAGCGGTCGGTGATATTGTTTGCTCTCTGAGAAGGTCTATTCATAAATTCATACTGCGGCCAGAGGAGGATGAATGGCGTATCGTGGGTATCACCACTCTTAGCAAAAGTGAGCGCGAAGGACCTAGGAACCAACTCTCGCAATTTTTGGACCGGGAATGCGAGCGGCATTCAACGCATTGTTATCCATTGATAGATTAGCGAACGACACACCGAAACGGATCCTTTGATAGGGCTTGGGGGTGAGTGCTGCACCTTAGATTAGAATACATAATAGTAAGAACTCGAATTTTCTACTGCACAAGATAACTATCACCTAAGCAAATCTGCCAGTCGCTGCAACGGCTTCCGTAGGCCGCGCGCACTTCTGCATCAGTGCTTGTAGAGCCTCCGTCGCGGCCGCGGCGCTACGAATACGATGTCGGTTCATTGACGGCAGCCGCAGCTGTCTAGTCGCGATGCAACACGCCTTGCAGCACTACAGCCGCTCCTCTTAGAGGTCCATGGCGCCAAAATTTCTACGCTTCTGGGGAGCCTTAGGTGTTAGTGTCGGGATGTGAATATTATCGAACCGGGTATACTTCGGGCGAACCACCGCTTCATGCCCAAAGCCGTCGCAGCCCCTTCCACCTTCACGACACGACCAAGACCACAACTACGGCCACAATCGACTCCCCAACCTCGAAGCTCACACAATTCGCGATATGAGATGAGCGTCGATTCGTCCCCGAAGCCTACGCCGCCTCTCCCGATACGTGCGGGCGCCGCATCGACCCCTCCCGACAGCCCGCCGTTCCCCGCTGCCCGGGCGCCCTCCCCTCCTGCGCCCGCTACTCCCGTCTCTGTGCCCTCTCCGGCGCCGTCCGAATCACCGCGGCGCTCCCCTCGCGACTCGTCGGTCGAGAGCCTGCTTGCGCTTCTCCACAGTCGCCGCCGTGGCCTCCTGCTCGACGCAACCGAACAGCATGCGGTACGACTGACGGAGGCGCAATACCACACCCTGCACAAGTCGATCGCCAAGGACAAGGCGCTCAAGGCCTGGGTGGATGACCAGGGCCGTTACGACTGGATACCCGACTCCGGCGGCGCGGGCGGCACCTTCGTCCTTCGCATGCCCAGCCCCAAGCACGACTCCTTTGCGCGCAGCGTGGACATCTACATCCAGCGCCAAATCGACAAAATTCGGACGAAGGAGCGACCCGGGATAGTCGATGAGATCCGCGAGGCGGTGAAGCGCATCCACGGCACCGGCACGTCTGATGCAAGGCTAGGTGACACGGCGAAGGTCAGCGCGGATGCTGCGTATACCGTCGAGGGGCGCGCCCGACCGCTCGTCGTCATCGAAGTCGCATATTCGCAGAATATCTCTGCGATCAAGGACAGCAAGGCGCCGCTCTGCATACGGCATGGCTCAAATGTCGTTGTTGCCTTCGACCTGCATTACGAGAAGCCGGCAGACCGTCGAAACGCCGCAGCCCCGAGTGCATCCTCTGCTGCATACACAATATACCGGGCGGATAGATTTGAGGAGAATGGCGTAGCGAAGGTCGCCATGGAAGCTGCTGTGGAGGATGTGGACTTCCTCGCCAATCATGCAGGCGCGCTGCAGCTCAGCCTGTCGGACTTCTTCCCGGAAAATCAGGTCCCCATGGGCGCAGCTGATGTCCACATCGAGATACCGCACCTTTCGCTAGAGGGATTCTTGTCGACCGCCGAAGCGCAACAACAGACCTACGATGCCAACGCAGCTTCGCCCATCCGCGAATTTGTTGGCTCAAGGAAGCGGAGGGCCAGCCTGGACCAGCAATTGCATAATTCGTCGTTCGAATCTGAGCCGCCTGAGGACAATCCTACCGCACCCGGGGACAACACCGCCGAGGCTGGAGACTCGCAATCATCATACGCGCCGTCTATTGGCGTTGCTGGTCCGACGAAGCGCGCAAAACACCATGCCGATGACGAAGCCGAAGATAGCTGATCCATCCAGAGACTGAACGTGCACATCGACTCACCTTAAGCAGGCAACACCCTAGATACGCGACGACTGCGACGACTCGGGGCGGTTTTGCGGTGTTTGTGGCGTATTCGGCGACGCCAACGGCCCTGCTATCGAAGAGGATTGGAAGCGCGAGTTGGTAGAGACCGAAGGGTCGAGCAGGCAGGAGGGACATGGAGCAGGGTGGGAAGGTGGTAGCAAGGACCGTGACCGGGGACGAGGACGTTTAACCGCCGTCGTGTGTTCAGGGCCACTGTCTGAGGTGTATGTATATCCAAGCGGGTCAGAAAGCGCATAATGCCTGCATGTGAGCTAATCGTGTTCAGATTCTTTCTCCGTCTCGATTTTGCGTTTCTGCTTCGTGGGATGGGGACTACTTGTAGCAGGGTTATAGGAGGATGCGCGGGTAGCAGAAGAAGGCCTCGGAAGCAAGGCGAGACCGGACATGGGCATGGGCATGGGCATGGGCATGAGCTGGGGCGTTGATCTTTCCGATGACTGAACGAATAAGATCGCGCGTAAGATGGCGGGAGGCGTCGATGGGGCAACCCCGCGCATCGGTATCGGTTTCCACCCTTTGTCTCTGACTACGACGACAAGAATCTTTACCAACACGCCTGGCGCTTTGTTTCTTTCAACCCCTTGGACAAAGACAATAAAAGCACGTCTTCTCGCTCCGCTGAGTCCCCGGGCTCGCCTTTTGCATCAGGCGCAATATTACAGCTTCGGCAGTGGTAGCTGGCCTATAACGCTAATGACTCAGCACTAGCCACAGCAGCCACAAGAGTCGTTTTCGACGTGTTTCAGAGACTTCCTCCAACACACGCCAAATGCACCCGCGCCCGGAAAGGCGACAGTTCTTCTCTAGAGCACATCTTTTTCGTCCTGAGCTTGCTTGCAGTGAGGCTTGAAAGATTCGTGCGAAACGGCGCCGCCGTCGCGAAGACAGCAGTTGTTAGTGGATCTTCCCTGCGGGAACTTCCATTCCGACTGAGGATTTGTTCCAGTACTGTGGCTCACCACCCGATGCACGGCCCCACCGCATGCACGATTTCGGATGCCTACACCCGAGAACTTTTAAGGCTCTACAACTACATATATACTATAAAATTACAAGATTTTCTAGTGTAGTAATTAGAGAAGCTACCTAAAGGCGCCTATAAGGTTTTTTATGTATAAAAGCGTTTTAGAAGCTCTATTTTACAAGTACAGCGTAATCTAGCTAGTATAGAGGCTACATCTATAATTAATAAGAAATCTATATTAATATTCTTCTTATTAATAGAGAACTTAGAAGAAGGTGTAGAAGCTCTCTATTTACCTCTTTTAGACGTCTTAACGTTGTTTTTAAGTTATTTATTTACCTAATGTAAGGGCTAGGTCCGCGGTCTCCACTGCTGTAAGCGTCCCGGAACACCTAGCTAGGTAGGTTAGCTGCAGGCAGCGCTATCTCCACGAGCTGTAAGAATAAGAGGTGCTAGCAGAGTAGGTTAGGTTAAATTCAGCTATCTAAAGGTAAGAAGTAGAAGAATGCTCTAAGAGGCTCTATATATAGAGGTGCCGAGCGCTAAGGCGCTAGGCTAGGTCACGTAATAAGATTACGTAACCCGAGGTTATATAACTCTAGGTAAATCTCTAAACTAGACTGTTACACCTTACGTATAATTCGCGCTTTCTCTTTTTTAGTAGCCTTTTTTTACTACTTCTATAGGTAGATTTTCTTTACCTATACTCTTATTTACTTTCTCTTCTCTAATTAACGTGCCTTCTTAGTCTTTTTAGCTTTCTTAAGCTTAGTTACCTTATTCTTTTAGTGTTATAAAAGCTTCTTATTAGCCTTCTTCTAGTTCTACTAGTTACGTATCTCTTATACTTTATTTAGTAACTAGAATACTATACTACTATAATATTCTTAAGGTATTTTAAGTAGTAGTAGCTTACTACGCTACTAGCGCTTCTTCTTATTAATTAAAGCTTCTTTAAGTTACTTATTTTTATATTATAGAAGAGTCTTCTATACTAAGATTATATAAATTATATAACTAAGCTTCTAGAAGCGTTTATTATAGATATTCTCTACTATCTACCTAAGTAGTTACTTAATTTTTCTCTAGTTAGAAGCGCTAAGTACTAACGTAGCTAAGTTACTAGAAGATAGCTAATTAGCTTTCTATATATTAAATTACTTTAATATTATAGTAGAGTTAAAAAGCTCTAGTCTAGTTAACTTAAAGGCTTTAAGAATAGTTTTAGCCTTAAATAAGACCTCTTAGGTAGTATTAAATATATAGAAGAAATCTCTTTTAGTTATAGCGTAGATTTTCTATAATCTCTCTATAAAGGCTAATAGTTTAGCTAAGTAAGTAGCTAAGAGTAGTTTAAATATATAAATATCTAGAGGCTATAGTATATAAGTAGTATATAGTAGAAATATAGCTAGAAGAATTCTATTATTATTATAGAACTTAATAAACTTTATAGTAACGTATAATCTATAGCTATTAAGAATTAGAAGTTAATTTAATTATTCTACTTTTACTTATATTTCTCTATTAAATATCTACTATAGCTATACTAGCTCTATAGAGTTATTTATCTATTTACTTAGTAATAAGCTAAAAAATACCTTATATAATATAAAATTAAAATCTTATAACTAGATATTCTAGATATTTCTAGAAAGAGCTTAATATATAAGTATAGATATAAAAGTAGTCTTATCTATATATATATATATAATAGTTATAATTTACTCTTAATTACTATTCTAGAGTATTTACTTAATTTTTCTATTCTTATAGCGCCTCTTAGAAAATACTCTCTTTATTCTACTTAATACTCTAATTAGAAAGTCTTTTTTATCTATATTATATGTGTAGTAGAGTAGAATTTTATACTAATTATAAGAGCTAGGTTCGCGGTCTTTACTACTATAAGCGCCTCTAGAACACCTAGCTAGGTAAGT